GTAATCTCCTTTTAAAATTTCTCTTATTTTCCAGTGATCGCCTGTTGATAATCCTAAAATCCAGTAGAACCCCTGTTTTTTTGCCCGCTGCTTTTACAGAGAAAACAGAAGTTCACTTGTGGTGCTCATCAAGAATGTATACGATTTCAAAAACCAAGACATCTTTGTTCGGCTGATTAGCTACAGTTTGATGCTATTTCGTTAACTTTTTTCATAATACATTTAAACAATTACTGCAATTACTGCACAATGTTGAGGTTTTCAGGATGTTTACTTATGGATTTCGAATATAACTGATGGACCATCAGTGAAATTCTTAGTGCATAATGTGCATACGATGGACGAGCTGCGAATGTCTGGTAATTGCTTGAAAGGCTCGCGACCGGTGCTTTCCTTTGATGGCGCATTCGATTCGCAGCCACATCTTGCACTCATTAAACAGCTTTTTCTTGAGGTTTTAGTTTGTACCTCGCTAGACACTGTCCATTTTATAAATATTTGGATCTGTCAAGCTCACTTTTTAACCGATTTATCCCTCCACATTCCGGAAAAAAAAAGAGCAATGACTGCGGTGAACACAACCTATGTTCCTTTCCCTCGCTTCTTTGCATTTCACAGCACTTTTTATGGATTTTTTTGCATCTGTGCAATGCAAAAACGCATATTGTCGAGGAGTTGTCTGTGTGTGTGTGTTTGTTTGTTCACCTGTACTAATTTTTCATCATGAGGCCTACAAGAGCTGCAAGACTTTGGAATCTTAATCTACATGCATTTACCTTCTCCCCAAAATGGACGCTCTTTTCACGTGGTTCTCACTTACAGGCCCGTGAAAATTTTTGACAGGTGTGTTGCTAACTCAGGAATGAGAAAGCTGAAATTTTAATAAAATGTTTTCTGACTGTCGTCATGGCTATTCTCAATTCTTTTAGCTAGAAGCATCTGCCGGAAGAAGCAGTGCCGTTAGCAACAAAAACCTGCGAGGAGCTGTGCAGAAAACGCATTTTCGCACCTGTAGTCGATGCTCTGGCAATTATTTTTTCTTTGATAAATTATCCCTCACTCTTTTTCCTCCTGCCCTTCCTTCCACTTAAATTTTACTCCTTCACGTCAAATTCCTATAAGCCCTGCACATGGTGTTCTAGTGTTTTTATTAAGAGCAGTAGGATTCGACATTTTCCTCCCATGAATATCCACTATCTCAAGGCATTATAATTTGCCCAGTTGTGATTTTTGCAGACATTCAGCACCCCAGACCATCATCCTAGAAGCAAACCATTCATCGATCACGTTTTCACGTTTTCATTAACACCGGACGGGAAGATATGGTTTCGGAACTTTCAAATCGTTGATGAAACATTGGAGCTTCAGGAAATTGGTTCGTTACAAGGCGGAAATTATTTAGCAAAACTGTTTTCATCGACTGCTAGCGGATGAAACTGTGTAGTGTTTGTGCGCAATTTCAGGACCTCGTCTGGTACTCGAGGTAATTCGTGTCTTTGATGGCTCGTTTGAAGGATCGGTGCTGTATGACAACCCCGAATACGTCAGTCCAAATACGATTCGAAGGGAAATTAAGAAGAAACACTCGAATAAATATATACTGAAGAAGCAGGCTGAGATGGTGAGTTACAGATTCACAAGCAGATTGACATGATTTTTATGCGTTTTTTGCAGCAATGCAATGCGGAGAACGCATATTGACGAGGGGTTGTCTGTGTGTGCGTCTGTCACGCATTTTCATCTCAGGACCTATAAAAGCTGCGGGACTGAAATTTCGGAAACTTAATCTACATGCACGTGCCGCCCTAACCCCCAAAATGGGCGCCAAAACTTGCGTGGTACCCCCGTGAGCCCGCCAAAGTTTTTTTGTCGTCAGTTCATAACTCGAGGATCTGAGAAGCTAGAAGGCTGAAATCTTGGGATAATGTTCCCCGCCCGATCAGTTCATAACTCGAGGATCTGAGAAGCTAGAAGGCTGAAATCTTGGGGTAACGTTCCCCGCCCACAAGTTCATAACTCGAGGATATGAGAAGCTAGAAGGCTGAAATCTTGGGGTAATGTTCCCCGCCCAACCGAGTATTAGTGGGCTCAAACCTAGCCCCCCGGTTAGCGTGCGTGGTACCCGCGTACGAGCCTGCCAAAATTTTTTTCGGGTAAGTTCATAACTCGGGGATCTGAGAAGCTAGAAGGC